CTGGGTGTGTCACCTGTCAGTGCGGGCAGCGTGGGCAGTGCACGGCTCACCTGCAGGCTGGGTGTGTCACCTGTCAGTGCGGGCAGCGTGGGCAGCGCATGGCTCACCTGCAGGCTGGGTGTGTCACCTGTCACGAACTCCGCTGGGCCCTCTGGGCAGCGCCCCTCAGCTGCTTGCAGACTTCCACTCAGCCCTCCGGAGCGTCGCTTTCTATGCGCCTGTCTTCTCTGTCCTTTCCTACGCCTGCTTCGCTGGAAGATCTTTTGGTAGAAAGCATGGCAATGCGTTCAAAGCAGCTGGAATCCCCAGGCAGAATCGGCTCTGGCGGTGCTGCCGCCGCCTGCTGTGGCCATGCCCTGGCCCATCCACGGCACCTCTCGGAGGAGAGCCGGTGTGGGGACAGCCACCGGTGGGGAGCTGCGCGAAGCCCCCGCCAGGAGCTCAGGGCTGGTGGTTCCATGCTGCCCCCAGCTCCATGCTTGCAGGTGACACTGCCCTGAAGTTCGTGGCTTGTGTTTCCAGGGGCTGGAGGATACAGTGGAGCATCGTGCCTGAAGTGTCTGAAGCCGTGGTGAGTTCCCAGGACGCAAGGTCCTTCTGTCTGTGTACTGGTCAGGCATTGCAGGGGGCGCCCGGTGCTGGTGGGGGTACGTGGGACAAAGGAAACCAGCCAGCCAGGAGCCCTGTGGGGCTGTCTGCTCTCTCAAAGCATCAAACTTGGCAGCTCGAGGAGCAGATGACCCTGCCCTCCTGTCCTGGCTGAGCTGCCCCGCTGGGGTGGCTGTGGTGGGGGCAGGGCAGGATGTCTCTCCCGGTTCCCCCGAGGGGGAGGTGAGCAGAAAGTCCGACAAGCCGCACACAGCCGCCCATGTTTATTTCTAGGACTGTAGAGCCCGCCTGCAGCCCATTGTCTAATTTGTAAATAAAGTTTTACTGACACTCAGCTGTGTTCGCTCATCACGCACTATGGACTTGGCCTGAAAAGATGAAAGTATTTACAGCGGCTTGCCCTGGCAGGAGGCCGTGGTGCCGCTGAGGCCTCCTGTGTGCACTCAGGGTTAAGAGTCTCGGAGGAGGTGGGCTAGGAGGCCCTCCGGAGGGTATCGCTGACCAGCGGGCCTCAGCTTCCTGCCTGTCGGCGCGGGGAAATCGGGGCCTTCCACACCCTCAGCTGCTGGGTGAGGCTGGTGGTCCAGCAGAGGGGAGCTTTCCTGTCAGCTGATGGTGTTCCTGGACAGCATCCCCTCCAGTGCCAGGGGGAGCGAGGGGCCCCCAGGACCCTGGGGCTTGGAGCCTTCGTGCTGTCTGCTGGTAATTTTCCTGGATTGTTAAATTGCAGTGGGAAATTCTCTCTTCCTTTGAAGGAAGCTCCAAAGGAAGACCTGACTGTGTCTGAAAAGTTCCAGCTAGTGCTGGATGTCGCCCAGAAGGCCCAGGTGCTGCCACGGGGCTCGTCCAGTGCCCGGGGGGACGGGGAGGCACCCCAGCCCCAAGGCCTGCTCCTCCGCCGGGGCCTGTGTCAGCACCGTTCCTTCTTCACACAGAATCTCTTTGGCAAGATGGCTGACATCCTGGAAAAGATCAAGAAGTAAGTCTCCAACCTTGTGGCGGGGATGGGGGGGGGGGGGGGGGGGGGGGGGGGGGGGGAGGTGTGCTTGCCCCGCCCCGCCTGACCCTGACTCCTTGCAGCCTGTTCATGTGGGTCCAGCCGGAGATCACTCAGAAGCTGTATATCGCGCTGTGGGCCGCCTTCCTGGCCTCCTGCTGCTTCCCCTACCGCCTGGTGGGCCTGGCTGTGGGTAAGGAGCACCGGGCCCGTGGGCACAGGGCTGGTGTCTGCCCCCGGCCCAGTCTCACACCAGCGTTTTCTCCTCTGCTTCTTGTCAAAGCATTTCAATTCTGGAGAAGTGAGCTCATCTGAGATCCACACATGTTTCTTAAATCAAGCCCATCGTTTGCCCTGGGGCCCGGCTTCCTGCCCCATGAGGGCGGCTGGGAAGCCTGAGAGCCAGGTTTCAGGTGGCAAACCTGGTTGTGGCGCAGGGCGTGCAGTCAGGCTGCGTGTGGAACGCTTCCCGAGTGCGTCGGGAGGGAGAGCACCCTGGCAGGGGGGTGGCGTGGGGGGCTGTCTGCAACACCCCGCCACTGAGGCACGGGAGCGGAGCTGGTTCGCTCCCCACCTCCCTCTGCCACAGTGACCTGGTGCGTGCCATGGGCCCAGCCCATGTGGCACACGGGGCAGGACTTGGGGTCCTGGTGCTGTGGGGCGGGCGAGAGTCCCGGAAGCCGCATAGGGTGTGAGCAGTGAAGGTGGGGAGGGGAGGGTCCTCCCTGGAGCCAGACTCTCCCCCGCACCAGAGTCTGGGCTGTCTGGCTCCGCCACGCAGTCAGGAAGATGAAGCTGGGCATGCCCACACCAGGCCCCGGGGTGCCCGGGCTGAGCCTTTGTCACACCCAGGGAAGGGTGAGCGGAAGGAAGAGTCCTTCAAGGAAATGGTGACGAAGTGTCACTCCCTGCGGACACCTCCTCACGCCTCGGCCTCTGTGGCCAGTTCTACCTGTCACCTGTGCCCTTCACGGCCCTGCTCTTAACCTCCAACCCTCTGGGCTGCTTGTTCACTCCTCTGTCCACACCTCAGCTGGTGGTCTTGGTGCTCTGGCTGTGTTGGGGAGGGCGTGGCCTGTGGTAGAGGGCTGGCAGGAGTGGGTGTGGCCTGGGGAGGAGTGGGTGGGGCACGGGCTGTGGGCCTGGGTGGAAGGCAGGCAGAGCTACTTATTAGCAGATGGCTGGACCGAGGGAAGGGAGGAGGGCTGTCAGGACTGCTGTGGGCTTGCCTGGCCTGTTGGGGAGGAGATGGTGGTGGTGCTGAGGCAGCTGCGTGGGCACGTGCCTCTCACGTTCTGGTCGGGTGTAGTTTGATTCTGCGGTGGGAAGGTGTGGAGTGGAGCCATCTCTGAACACACAACCTCCCCCTCCCAGCATTTCAGTCTGGGGGGCCGATGAGCCTGTGGGAAAGCGAGACTCAGATCTGGGAGGGCTGGAGGTGGGCTGGGGAGCCTGGGGGAAGGAAGGGCCCACGATGGAGCATTCATTGAGCAGCAAGAAGCTGGGGAGGCGTGTGCGAGGAGCAGGCCAAACTTGGTGTGGGTGTGGAGCATTTGGAGGCCCCTGGGGCCCAGCTTGAGTGGGGTGAGGTTGGAGCCTCGGGGAGTCTCACTGCAGAAGGGGTCTCAGTTCGTAGGTGAGAAGTGTGGCTGGGAGGCTGGGAAGGTGGCGCAATGGTAGAGCGCTTGCCTGGCATGCATGAGGCCCTGGGTTCAATTCCTCAGTACCATATAAGCAGGGAAAAAAACAACAGAAATGGTCCTGTGGCTCAAGTGGTAGAGCGCTAGCCTTGAGCTAAAGAGTTGAGGGACAGCGCCCAGGCCCAGAGTTCAAGACCCATGACCGTCAGATAAATAATAAAATAAGAAGCGAGGCTGGGCCTGTGGCAGAGGGACGGCTGCCCAGACCTTGGAGGATGGCCCTGGTCAGATCCGGAATGCCAGGGTCGCGTCCTAGGCTGCGCAGACGGGTCGGCTCCTTGTCCTCTCAGCCTGTTTCCCCTCGGGAAGCTGTACCCTTCCTCCCACCTTTGTGCCCTTAGTCCACGCAGGGGGATGTGGTGAGGGACCGGCTAGACCCCAGCAGGGGCATCAGTCCAAGGGCCTCACGGTCTGAGTGTCCCGGAGTCCTGACAGGTCCTCAGACTTCAGTCCTCACCAGGAAAACCAGGGTGGCTTGAGGGAAATAGCCAAAGCCAGAGCCACTAAAATGCCCGGGGGGGGGGAGGGGGAGTGCAGTCGCTGCCCTTTCCTTCTGCGGACCTGGGCTGGCACATGACTGCTTGACCCAGGAAAGGGTCTACAGTGGTGAGAACCCCCCCACCTCCCCACTGACCCTGTGGTGAGAACCCCCGCCCCCCTGCCCACCCCTCAGTGAGAACCCCCTGCCCCCCCC